AAAAATAAGACAAACAAACTAGCCAAACGGCCGGGACGCTGGGGAGGGGCCTGTGCGGCGGGTCAGGCGGGGCCTGGGGTTCTGGTCCCCGCACTGCGCGGGCGGGCGAGCGGGCGGGCTGCCGCTCCGAACCCCCGACCTCCCGCACCTCGCCCAGGAAACCAGGGCCTGGGCCAGCTGATCTCGAAGGTCGCTCGTAGCTCGTTTTGAGCCTTGGGGCCGGTGCGTTTTCCCGCCCTCGCTGAGCCGGGAGTCTGGGCGACAGGGGGGTGATGGCCGGTGGTGGGCTCGCAGCCCGCAGCTGGGCTCTCCAGCGGCCCCCACCTCAAGGACGCCTGGGGAGGCGGAGGAAGTTTGGCTGAGCTGCTGCGAGCCCCCCTGCCTGGGTGCTTTAGCCGGGGGTGGCGGGGTGGTCAGTGGTTAGCCTGGTCTTGAGCCAGGAGTCTCTGCTATCCTAGGAGAGAAGCCCCGGGCCGATGTCTTTCTCTAAATCACCCAAGAGCAGACGCAGCATTTACCAGGTATTCTGAACCCCAGCTACCTCCCAGTAAGGAGTAAGAAAGTATCTCAGGATGAAAAATCCGCCTGGTCTCGCAAAGTCCCTCAGTACACTTTGTAGCCGTCTTAGACACATTCAGTTTTGCTCGGCGAGTTACGCCTCTGACTCAGGACTCTCGTTCCTAAACACAGCTGAGTCCATTGACACTGGCTGCGTGTGAGAACGTGTCCCTTTATACTTACCCATTCTCTTCCCGGGTCGTAGCAGTTTCCTCCACCTGAGTCCAGCCGCCCAACTACAACAGCTCCTTCCTCCCTCCACCCTCCTCTCCCACTGCATTCATTGCTCCAGCCCACCCAGACAATCTTCAGTTACACCTGAGTGCTTTCAGAGGCCTGCAAGTGCTGAAGGGTGAAAACAGTCCGTAAGGTCAAAGTCCGGACTATGAAGTGATTTATAAAAACCAGCACAACCGTGTTCTAACGCGTTTCTCTGCTCCCCTTTGCAACTTGAAATGTCCCTCCCAGTGGGGTCTTGAGGAACAGGAGCTCCGTTCTACCTGAGATGGCGCTCAGTGGGTCTTGAACTGCTTCCCCAACTCTGTTCTTAACACAAAGACTCCTGGTTTGGGCCCAAGTCAGTAAACGTTGCTGGAAACTAACCTCATTCTAATTAGTGACCCTAGTTCTAATAGTGCACTGCAGCTGTATTTTCTCATACCCCTAGGCTGTAATAGGTTTGATTTTTCACTTGTTTTCTTAGCCACATCTTGTTGGTCCACTTGGCATGCCGGCTGCACTTCACACACTGCAGCGTGTTACAGCTGGAGGGCCCTTAGGGACCCTGTGGTTTAACCCTCTCTTCTTACCACGGAGGAAATTGAGACTCCGGTTTCCTGTCCAGGGACACACATCCATCGGGTCGCAGCTCTTGGGCTGGCTCTTTCCTTCCCGAGGGTCCCAACTGGTTGAGGCTTTTGTCTGGGTTTGATTGTCGTCGGCAGGTTCTCCTCTCTTACAGGCCGATCCCAAGGGCTCCTTCCCAGTTCCTAGGCCTGGGCCCCTCCACAGATGTTTTCTTGATGTGGCCTGTGGTCACTGATATTTCAATGTGTCAGTCACAGGCCTTTGGTAGCACTAGCCTCTAGATCAACTAAAATGCGGATTCCAAAAGGAGATAGCCGGAGAAAGTGAAGGGGGCAGGACCCGAGCTGAGGTCAAAGTCAGGACTTCTGGCTGGCTGGAAAGAGTTTGCATGATCAAAGCAGGAGGTCGTGTCTCTTTATATTTCCTACACTTAATGCCCACTTAATTTCTTGGGTTGAAGACTAGGAGAGAAGGGACAGGAAAATCACTACCATACTTTATACCCTGCCCTGTGGGGCCAGCAAGTGACGCGGTGGTTAAGGCACTAGACTCCCACATGGCCAACTGCAGTTCGAGTCCCGGACCTGGTGGCTTGTTTTTCACTCCCATTTCTGTCTCTTTCTCTGGCCAAATTAAGAATGAATAATAAATATAATTAAATAAAATAATTCTTAAAAAGATGTATACCCTACCCCCTGAAATTAGACAGTTGTCCAAATATCAAAATAGTTGTTGGACTACGCAAGAACTCTGTATGTGCGTATGCCTGCATACATACCTGTGCATAAATACACAAACTACTACATATATGTAAATGGGAAACTCTAGAGCATTTCGCCTTGCCAGAGATGTTTGATTTTATTCATGGGATTAATACGGTATATGAAAGTAGAAAATGAGTACTCTTATCCCTTGCACTCTGTGCAGCATTCGCCTAATGTTAAAGAGCACCATTTTGTTGCTTTGTTAATCTTGAAAAGTAAGCGAGTCACCGTCAGGCCACCTTAAGAAGTCTGGCTGCCCGCAGAAAGGCAGTGCTTACAGGGACCTCACTACGATCTAAAGTGTTTTGTTTACACTCAAGGCTCGGGAGAGCTGTACTGCAAATAATGAGAAGGCAGGCGGGGGGCCGCCCGCCCGCGAAGCGTGAAAAACTACTTTGGAGTCCCGAAGGGAGAGGGAGCCTGGAGACCAGAGCGCCATCCTCCTGCGGAAAGCGGGCAGCTGCCAAAGAGCGAGCCAAGCCGAGCCAGGGAGAAAATGTTCGGATCCGCGGTGGGAAGGCGGGGCCTGCGTAGGAGACCGAAAGTTGCACGCACACTGCTCTAAAATGGTCTCTGCCTCCCCGGGGCTCCTAGTCCTCTGAGTGATGTTTTTCTAGTCGTTTTTCCTCCTGGTTTCCTGACAAGTGTCGTATAGGTCACCCTAGATTCCTGAGTCTTCCGCAAGCCAGGGAGAGAGGCAGAGACCCAGATGACCAAGAGGAAAACACCTGTGTGGTAGACACGTGTCCGAAGGTGGTGGCCGGGTGTCAGCTGGCTCCCAGATGCAGACCCTCACCTGGAAGTAACCGGGCTCCAAATGTTTCTGCAAACATCTTGTTTCCTTGCAGGGTGGACCCTTCATATCGCAATGTCCTGGTTTGAATCTCTCCTCGAGAATCTTTATAGGAGGTAGCTTCGGCTCAACTTCATCATTCCCCTAAAACCGACACATTGTTAGGGTTCAGAAATTTCAGTCATCTGTTTTTGACACTCAATTCAACTAAACACACATTTACCTAGCACCTTGTATTAATTTGCCTATTGTTTCTTCCTTTTTTGATTTTTATTTAACTTTACTTATTCATCTATTTTCATTTGACCATGGGGGTTGGGGGGTAGGAGACAAGCTGCCAGGTCTGGGACTTGAACCACAGTCGGCCATGTGGAATTCCAGCACCCATAACCACCATGCCACCTGCTGGTCCTATTCTTTCTTTCTTTCTTTCTTTTTTCCTGAAAGGTTTTTGCTGTAGGGCACATGTGCTTTCCAGAAAGACAGAGAGACAGAAAGTGAGAAATCACCCCCCAGGGGGGATGGCTACGCCGTGATCCCTTCTCCTCCATTTTCCTCTCAGGATCTTGGGCACGCACGCACATACACCGAGCGCACACCCAGCATGAGTTTAAGCCACCAGGTCCGGGACTCGAACTGCGGTCAACTACATGGGAGTCCAGAGACATAGCCATTATGCTAACTGCTGGTCCCTCTCTATTCTTTCTTTCAATAAATATTTATTGAGTTCCTTCTATATGCCAGGTATTATCCTAGACTCTAGGGATACAGAAGTAAATAAGCAAAATTAAACTGGGTGATGCTTATGCCCTAATGGGGGAAGTAGACAGGATAAATGAGTGAAATATACACTATGGAAGGGAGTGATATGCAGAGAAACACTCCGCAGGGCAGAGGAGGAGAGAGTGGCAAGGTCTCATGTGAACAGAGTGACACAGAAGGCCTCATGGCGTAAGCGGCCTTGAGAGAAGCTCTGGGGACCCGAGGCAGCAGCCCTGCAAACATCTGGAAGAGAGTATTCAAAAAAAGGGAACAGCAAATGCGAAGGCTCTAGGTGGGCTCTTGCCTGATGTGTTCTAGGAAATGCAAGGAGGACCCTAGTGGGCAGGCCGGAGTAAGGACAGAGTGGTGACCAGAGCACCAGATCATGGAGGAGACCGTGTGGGCTGATATCACTCACTGGGTGATACGGGATGCCGCTGGAGCATCAGGAGGTTTTAAGTAGTGGAACCATGTGATCTTAACACAGGTAAGGTGTTTCCCAGGGCATTGTTCTCAGCAGCCTGGGGA